TTTAATAGGATAGTAATTTCAGAGCAAAACCACCGTTCAGGATAATGTTTAACCAACAACCTGAAATATACACCACCTCATCTTCTAGGATCATTCCATTTTACATGGGTAGATGTTAAAATGTGTGGCACAGGCAGCAAATACACACCCTTCTAAACTTAATCTGTGATAGGCAACTGCAATGAAAACATTTGAACAGGTCACTATTTAGAAAAATGGGTAGTACCAATATGTTATAAAATACAAACAATGCAAGGTAAGAATGTGAAGAACTGCTTGTGTACCTCCTGTTTCATGGAGAACTTATTTGGTGGGGGATTTTTTTTTCCAAATGGTTTACATTTTCATTGTATTAAAATTTCCTTCTTTAACAATGTCCTCAAGGAATCTTAATAAATTTATATGCCATCTTCCAAAATATTTAGTTACTTTTTATACAATTCCTTTTTGAAAGTACATAAAACCAATGCCAATTCTTTCAATACCCTATGATGTATTTTCAAAAGTGTTTCTAATGGTTACTACATACTGTTTCAAACAAAACATAAAAGTGTGAATATTAATTCTTTTAACCTTCAGTAGTGGCCAGACTGATGAAGTATGCAGCATTATTCTGGTTTCCCTGAATAAGGTGTAATCATATATGAAAGCCATACTATTTGCGCTTTCCCATCATCCATTTTCAACACTGACCTAAGACTAATTTTAGGCACAGCCCTTCAACTATGATGCGCTAATATGAGAGGAAGTCATCAATATCAATTGAAGAATGCACACTGATTCTACAGCTGCACACAACAGCCATTCAGGATTATTTAAAATAAATATACATACACAAATCAACACAAGTTTTAGTCAATTGACTTATTTTTTCAATTAACTCACTTGAAAAGTTAAACAAAAAATACATATAAATGAAAAACATACTTGCAACAAAACATAAATTTTTAGATATGTAAGCGTATTAAAAAACACAGCTGCAATGGTAATATAATTTATATATTCATTCAATAAAATGTCCAGTCCACTTCTAGTAAGTGGACTGGAAAATTACTTTAAAGCTTAAATTCTATGGAAATACTTCCACAGCAATATTCATTCAAGAACACCTGAAATGACTGTCCTGAAGTATGAAAGTAATGGGCCACTGTGCATGTCCCCAGTAACTGCCTCCACCTTATTGTTATTTGCACGTCACTCATTCAAGCTGTAACACTAAGACCAAGACACATTAATTTAAAAACGAGCAAGTTTATACACAGTTTTACCTTATGCATGTTTTCCATTTCAACATACTCAACATGCATACAAATGTCAAGGTGTTGTTTAGCATAGTAGCAACATGCTGTAAGAACCTCGTGAGTATATAGCATGAGCAGGGAAACTACAGCTCACTCGAAATGTGTGTTACAAGAATGCAATGGGTTGCAATAACAATGTGGGGGGTGGGTGGGTGGAATGTGATGTTCAATCTGTGCATAAATTACAATATGAACATACATATTATTTTTTCTTAACTTCACAGACTTTGGCATTAATGAAGTGATAACAGATCTCTGGCAAACATATTTACACATGACAAATTCAAAAATGTTTTCTTCAAGAATTTTTCTGAGGCCAGTCTTTTTACATAGGGCAAAGTCGTGACGCAATAAATGACACGTAGAACCAAGTTACACAATCCCTTATTGAAAGAAATTTGTCACAACACTTCAACATAAGATCAATTAAAAGCATAAAATGATTCTTCAGTGGCATCATTTACTCATTTTATCAAAATGCTTCTATATACTTTTTTAAAGCAAAGCAGTTCAGTCAAGTATGGACAATCAAATACTGATACCATATTTGAAATTCAGCATTGGCAGACTTTCTCTCCATTACTCAAACTACTAACAAATACTTTGTTTCCAACTGGCATAGGTTTATGAGCTCTTTATATTAAACATATTTTAAACCAATGGAGTTTGTTAACAGAAATTGTCTCACTTTCGATATACACCTTCTTAAAAATACATCTGTGCTACATCAATGCAAATTCTCATATAAAAGTAGCACATGGAAGAGACAATACTCCTTACTCAGTGGCAATATATCAAATGGTAAAATGTATACAGGTTCTAAGTCACTCAAAACTCTAAATTTTGAACTATTATTAAAACACGGCAATTTCACATGCAATATTAAACACCTGAATCGCTTTATCTCTATTCTGAGACAGTAAAACATGGAAGGGCCTTCTTTTTGCAAACATACAATCTCACCACTAAACACTACAACCATTCAATCACATACCATGAAAATAAATTATAATCAGTTTATCTGTTACGGAAATGTAAATGTTCTGCATGTGAAATAAATAGAGAACATTATAACTAACCGAAATTAAAATATCACTTCAAATACAAACAATTACAGTGTTGAAGATTCTGAATCACCACTACCATGTAAAAACCAGTGCACTCTGATTAAGACTACTGTACTCACATGCAAATATGTGACATATGATTCTGAGAAACTAGTATCAAATATTTACACCTGTAAAGTTCTCAAGGTGCATATTCAAATGCAGTTAAATTTACTGCAGAACCATGTCTCTTCAGTATTACTTCATGCCATCATGCAAATATAAATTGCTAGAAACATCATATCAAGGCTTGTGCTGCATGGGGTTTGGAAGGACTCATGTGAGCCCCTTGTTAATTTTTGGCTAATTATCCGAGTCCTTTGTCATTCGGTATAGTGACTGGCTACGGACTGGGCGACCGGGGTTCGATCCCTGATGGGGGCAGAGGATTTTTCCTCCAGCCTCTGCGTCCAGACCGGTTCTGGGGCCCACCCAGCCTCCTATCCAATGGGTACCGGGGTCCTTTCCCAGGGGTAAAGCACGGCCGGGGCGTGATGCTGACCACTCACCCCCATCTAGTGCCGAGGTCAAGGAAGAGAGGAGCTATACCTCCACTACCCCCAAGTGCCTATATGGCGTATAGTGGGACAGCTTTATTTATTTGTTATTAGCACAAAAATACCAAACAATACTGGCGATACACTAGTATAAAAAAATATCAACACATCTTGCCCATCCATACTTCCAAATGCCAAATATATTGATGACCTGCATATTTGCTTGCAAAATACTATACTGAACAATCTGTAACTTGCCTTATATTATATGTGCGAGTCATAAATGTGCTTGATGTACAGACGATACTAGTTGGTAGGAGACACTTGTTAACAAAATGGTGACACACCCCTGTTATGTCTTGTGATCTGAGGTACTCATGGCAGTTGCAAATGTAAGTGGCAGATGTCAACCATCGTTACAAATGTTCCTCTAAAATTATTTATTTTACTGTGATGGTGACATCAACTAAATAAATAAGGTTGTTATTTTATGTGTCATGCACTTTAAACATTGTATGAACCCCAATACAAGCACAATATAACACTTTCATTTATGGTGCTCACACCTTAGATTTCCTTCAGCACTGCCCTCAGCGAACTGAAAATGGCATTTTTTTATATGTATTATATTTAGAATTATGTAATATTTTTGTTTTTCTGTTTTCAGTTTTCTGTTACAATGTGTAATACTTCTGTAATTGGAGAGCTTCTCTCTGTTGGACGCAAATAAACAAACAAACAAACAAATAAATAAAAATTAATCATAAGAACTTACACCCCTCTTTCTACTCCTTCTATAGTCTTCATTAATATAGCTTATACAGTAAGAATTAGTACATATCGAAAGTGATGAACAATTCTGTTTCTGAAGGTGTCGATCACAATTTCTATTTTATGAAATCTACTTCATCCCTAAGTCTTCCCACCCTCAATCACCAAAAGACAATAAATATCAGCACACAAAAGCAGGTAGTACATACATCTGACTTAAGGTCTTTGATTAATAAGAAAGCTGTGGCCATTCTCGATCATGAGAATAAAATGCCATAACTATAAATACTGGTCAATTTGCATATTAATTACTCCAAAATAGATGTACAGTGTTGGATGATAAGAACAAATCCCTGTGAAAGATGCAAATGTGTGTAATGGCAGCATGTGTGTCAGACACAATATACTGTAACCAGGACTATGTGGAATTTATTACAGTAACAACACTTCGTACTAAAGTACATATTTTTATCACAGACCCTTGTAGCGACTATGGTAGCAACTATCAAATGGGAATTCTTCACAACCAACACTACACCTATAAGAAAATACAAAGACAACTACAAAAGTACAATAAAACAAAGTATAATGCATTCACAAATGGAATAAGGGTATGTTCACATGTCCATTTTATTATTACTGCCTTGAAATAAACAGCTGCTAAAATTTGAGAATTTCTTGCAGAACCATTTATGAATGATGAAAATGTATGTGGTCTAGAAATACAACTGTATTTTCCAAAGATTATTTCTTTTCTCAAAGTATTACTAACTTTTATAAAATAAGTGGTGCTGAGTTTGAAGGAAGGGTCATAATAAGATCCACATTTATAAAAAGTTTCTGCAAGAAATTTTGAAATTCTTATACACACGTGGAAGGCTTCCAATAAGACATAAGTTTTTACTTTTGCAGATATTTACTCTCCACCTTCCTATGCCTCCTGGAAACATATACTATTTCTATCTATTTCTTCCACTTAAAGTAATTGGAGAGCTTCTCTCTGTTGGACGCAAATAAACAAACAAACAAACAAATAAATAAAAATTAATCATAAGAACTTACACCCCTCTTTCTACTCCTTCTATAGTCTTCATTAATATAGCTTATACAGTAAGAATTAGTACATATCGAAAGTGATGAACAATTCTGTTTCTGAAGGTGTCGATCACAATTTCTATTTTATGAAATCTACTTCATCCCTAAGTCTTCCCACCCTCAATCACCAAAAGACAATAAATATCAGCACACAAAAGCAGGTAGTACATACATCTGACTTAAGGTCTTTGATTAATAAGAAAGCTGTGGCCATTCTCGATCATGAGAATAAAATGCCATAACTATAAATACTGGTCAATTTGCATATTAATTACTCCAAAATAGATGTACAGTGTTGGATGATAAGAACAAATCCCTGTGAAAGATGCAAATGTGTGTAATGGCAGCATGTGTGTCAGACACAATATACTGTAACCAGGACTATGTGGAATTTATTACAGTAACAACACTTCGTACTAAAGTACATATTTTTATCACAGACCCTTGTAGCGACTATGGTAGCAACTATCAAATGGGAATTCTTCACAACCAACACTACACCTATAAGAAAATACAAAGACAACTACAAAAGTACAATAAAACAAAGTATAATGCATTCACAAATGGAATAAGGGTATGTTCACATGTCCATTTTATTATTACTGCCTTGAAATAAACAGCTGCTAAAATTTGAGAATTTCTTGCAGAACCATTTATGAATGATGAAAATGTATGTGGTCTAGAAATACAACTGTATTTTCCAAAGATTATTTCTTTTCTCAAAGTATTACTAACTTTTATAAAATAAGTGGTGCTGAGTTTGAAGGAAGGGTCATAATAAGATCCACATTTATAAAAAGTTTCTGCAAGAAATTTTGAAATTCTTATACACACGTGGAAGGCTTCCAATAAGACATAAGTTTTTACTTTTGCAGATATTTACTCTCCACCTTCCTATGCCTCCTGGAAACATATACTATTTCTATCTATTTCTTCCACTTAAATGATTTTTAAACAGACTCATTTCTTAATTTGTTGCTACCTATACATCCAAAACATCATGTTCTTGCCAGTATATGCACCATGACATCTAGCTGTTTTGCTGCTGAAGCCTTCACTGGATCATGTGCATTGATTCAGGAAGAAGACACTCAGATGTAAGGTACCATGCGTGCTAGGCGCAGAATCAAGTCTAGCATGATGAACCACATTTTTCGTGCTGCTCTTGATCGCAACATTAATGTTCGCCACACCAGGAAAAGAGCAAGTAACTGTGTAAAGCGATGCATCCAGAACAATCTGTAAAAATAGGATACATTTATAGTTCCTCTGAAACTGGGCTTCATTCATTCATATTACACATTTACACAAGAAAGGCAGTTTCCTGTTACAACCCAGCAGGAAAGCTGGAAACTGGGTTTACATTGCACCAGATTTCAGCTGAGAGAATTTTAGAGCATGTGAAAATTACTCTGATCTGATTTGGTGAATGGGGAAAATGGTTTAGAATGACAAATTAAATCAGTTCATATGAACTCATTCTCACACCCTTCTTCATACTACAGAACCCAAATATTTATCATGGAAAGGAAGTGAAGGGAAACAGTGTAGAAGTCTGCTTAAAAGTTAAATAACCTCTGCTGTTGAAACAGTGTTGTTAAATAACCTAAGAATCAATCTTTTTTTGGTTTATTTAATGACACTGTCAGTAGCTGAGACTATGGTACTGAATGATAGGATGATTAATAAAAATTACTAGAAAGGATAAGGAAAGTGGTCATGGCCTACTTTAAGGTACTGTCCTGGCATTTTCCTGGAGGGGCCAAGGAAAATCATGAAAACCATCAGTCAGTACAGCCAGTATGCAGGCCAAGAAGAATCAACCTTACTGTATCCGCAACACTTCCAAATGGAAACATGAAAAAACAATTTTACATTTAAACATATCTCAACCTGGTATTTGTGAGATGTCTAATAATTCAACTAAACTTAATTATCTTCACTGATGTCATAAAATTGGAGGAAAAGACTCATCCTGAAGATGGCATGAAACGTTAGTGTTCTTTCTTTTGTAAAGTTATACATCAAGCTACTTACTTTTGAAGATGTTTCCTTGCTTTAGGTAGTGAGCTCGGATGTTCTTTGAAGATGAATTGTCTTATACCAAGTACGTAGCTTTCAATATATGTGGGCCAATGGATTTCTCTAACATCAAAAAGAAATGTCCGCCTGTCCTCTGGGCTAAGAAGACCATTAAGATGTCGGACATTTTCATCAGTAAATCGCCACTGCTGAGTGGCGAAGTACTCCAAACACTTAGCAGCCTTATCTAATTTCTTCTGCACTCGTACCATGCTGTCAAAGTACAATTTATTTCAATAAATGCCATGTCATACATTTTAAAACAATTTTACTTAAGTTTCTGAATGTGAATTACAGTTAATTCTTTCATGAACATGAATGTACACTTACACACAAACAAAAGTAAACTAAGTACAGTCTGTAGTAAGTGTAGAATCTTCTTGGTATCACACAGTATTGAAATAGTAAAATGTACCATGTAAGATTTGAGGTTTTCACAGCGGTGAGTATCAAGATTTCTGTCTTCTGGGTTGTTGCTCTGTGTAGTCTGGTCGATGTTTACCAACGTTTCAGAGGTCATACTGCCTCTGTCATCAGAGCTCTGATGACGGAGGCAGAATGACCTCTGAAACGTTGATAAACATCGACCAGACTACACAGCGCAACAAACCAGAAGACAGAAATATTCAAAATTTACCATGTTTCAGAGGAACATGCTGGCTTATTTATGTATAATTCTCCACCAAATGTCAGGTCTAAGTTAATATGAAGTTCAAATCCTTCACAATACAATTTATTCTCCAGTCTTTTTCCATGCATCCACAGAAAAGTAAGATAACTTACATTGCTTTCTTCCCAACAATCTTGCTGAAGAAGTCAAGTAAATGAGCGGGAATTATGTGGAGGGTGAGAGTGTACAGTGAATTGAGTATCCAGTTTGACCGACATTTACCATCTGGATACCAGACAACATCACCCAAAGGGTGTTTCCTCATGTACACAAAACACAACTCTACGAACTCTTTCCATGTAACAGGTTTCTGTTGTCCTGTACAACAGTTATATACTGCAATACCATCTGGCCTGTAAAACAAACAATACATCACTTTAATCCATCCTACATACCAAATATGTAACCTATAATTAAATGTTAGTTCATTAAACTGCTTGGCATTAGAAGCCAGAAGTTCAGAACTCCAGGAGGGGACTGTAATGGTACTTCCCCAATAACAATTTAATTTAATTTAATAAATTTAGAAGTGGCTCAAATATGCCAAATGCTACATTGCTTCAAAAATATTAAGGATGGACTAGACAGCCAAGAATTTTGGCTACAGAAGGGAATTCGAGTGAACAAAATTTTATTCTACAGGCAAACCATTACCAGTAATAAGCCCCACCACTATAAATTTCAGAGTATTTGCAGTCAATGATTAAGTGGGTAAGAATGTCATAACTGAGTCAAGGTGCAGCAGTGACAGGAAGAAGTGTGAATGAAATGTAACTTAGCTAGGAAGAGTCAGAGAATGTTCAGAAGAAAGTTTATCATGATTCATACATCCAGAATCACGTTAAAATGAAATAATAATGGATGCGTGTTAACAACCAGGGAAACACTGAGTATTAACAAAAGAAAAGTTGGACAATACTAGAGCTTGGCTTAGACATCACATAGTAAGCTACTTAATAGCCTTATGCAAGAAACAGAACATTAAATGGGCTCAAGAGAACTGCTACAAAATTACTGAAACTATGGCCTAACAAAACTATGTATCATTATAATCCAGCAGCCAGACTTAATTTCTGTAACTGGTTTCTTCAGTCAGTGTGGATATTTAAACACTAAGTCTACCAAACCAGTCCACACATTATTCAGAGGAATTATTCATCTTAAAGTGTCCCATGTATTTACAGAATGACTTTAGCATGCGAGTCAGGATGTGTTTAGAAGTTATGGAAATGTATCTAAGCCAATCAGGTACATTTTCAATCTTCAGTAAGTAGTTACGTAAACTTCACCGTCTAATGTTGCTCCAATCTCACTACCACCACAATTGACTGACCAGGAGATGGCAACCAACATAGTTTTCGCACACACTAAAAAGGTTGACATGGCCTAACTATTATTCAATTCAGAAACCTTTATCCCAAAACGCTAAAATCAAGATACATGATTTTTCCAGTGTTTATATGGGTGTGAAAAGTGGCCTCTTAGCTTTAGGAAAAACATAAATTAAGTGACTGAAACCTCATTATAAAATGTCCACATTAAGCTGCAAGAATAATACTAAGACAGATCTTAGGGACATTGTGAAGGAGGTAGGAAGATGGCACTGCCTCATAACTGTGTCAAATTGCAGGTTTTAGTAAAGTAAAGTTTGTCCCGCTACGTGCCATACAGGCGCTTGGGGTGAGTGGAGGTATAGCTCCTCTCTTCCTTGACCTCGGCACTAGATGGGGGTGAGTGGTCAGCATCACGTCCCGGCCGGCTTTACCCCCGGGAAAGGACCCCGGTACCCATTGTAGAGGAGGCAGGGTGGGCCCCAGAGCCAGTCTGGACGCAGGGGCTAAAGGAAAAATCCTCTGCCCTCGTCGTGGATCGAATCCCGGTCGTCCAGCCCGTAGCTAGTCACTATACTGACTGAGCTATCCCGGCTCATATGCAGGTTTTAGTATCAGTTGTGAATATTTGCATTCTGCTACCAGTGTAAGATGTTTCCTAGATTTACTTGTCTCTTAATATCATCATGAACTTCACTTATGTCACTTATTGTTGTACCTTGGTACCTCAATGCTGAAATATTTTTAAGAACACTGACCATTCAACACATATGTATAAATGGTTTTAGAACAAGACAGGTCTATTATTCTCTCACCAGTACCTGACTGTGGCTGTTCTCCATGCTGCACAAATCATGAGATTGATGACAATGTCAACAGGTACCAAGTCCGCTATTTTACTCCCGTGACATAACATTGTACGGAAGAATCCCTTTCCTGCTGCAGCTATTATACCAGTTGGTCCATTCCAGTTGTCCACCCAGCCTGCCACAGGTTCTCGACAAGAAGACAATACTGAAAAAATAGAAACCTTCATCAGTTTGACTTATTCTAGGAATACTCAACACCACTGATGCAATTGCAAATATTATATATCATCAAATGAGATGGGAAGACAATCTTAAATGGTGCACAGATAAGAATTTGGAAGGAGGTGACTGGTTCATTCCAAGGTTCTGTCTGAGAATTTCCCTGGAGAGACTGTGGAATACCACAAAGAACCTGAATCAGAATAGCTGGTAACTTGCTGAGACTCAAACCATGTACATCGAGAGTGTAAGTCTAAAGTGCTGTTACTGCTATAACCTACTTAGTACCTTCATCAGTCTTGCACTACAGAGTAATAACGTGTATGTAAAAAACCAGAATTTATATGGCTGAAATACTGGACAGTCTTCTGCAATTAGATTTTAAGTGGTTCCATCAATTCAAAGAATAATAAATGTCAACCAGTATAAGCAATGAATCAGTAGCTCAAAAGCATGATTTAGTATGGCCTATTTGTCAAATCGCTGAAGACGAAGGGCCATTTTAACCTAAGATATGGGAATAAAACATGTCTCAGCCAAGTTTATTCTGGGACTGCTGACAAAGGAGTATGAAGAAAACACACCATGCATGTGGCTTCTGGCCTGCTGAAGTGCACGGAAATTGATGAAAACTTCTTAAAAATGAGTTAATAAAATATGCATCTATGGTTGTGACCCTGAAAATAGTTAGTAATAATCACAATATTCCTCTTAATTGTCACAACTGAAAAAATAAACACACTAAATGTGCAGAAATACAAAAGTGACACTTTCATTTATTATATGGGCACTGTACACTATGAGCATGCTCTACAAGGTCAGAGTATTATTAATCATCTTTTCTGTTTACAAGTGCTGAGTTGTCGGTGACAGAAATACTACATAGGTGGGAGTCCAGCAGGGATCAAATTTCTCATGCAATAAACCTGCCCAGTCAGCCCAGCTTCTGTGGTGACATTTAGCAAAACACTGCACCAGAAGTTAGTACATGTGACTTTTTCAGTTAGCTAAACCAAATAAATAAACAAACAGACAAAAATTTAAGCATATAAATAAACTCACAATCAACAGATAAACATAAAATAAACAAAAAGGGAAATGTTTTATATTACGAAAACAACTGAACATAATTCAAAGGAGCAGCTGACAGAAACCCAAAACTTTTATGAATGTCTTCTGGGTATGTCATGCGATGCAGTCTCGTGATCACCCAGAAGACAGTCATTTTCATTCTTCCTGTCATGAGAACCTGAAATCACAATCCAAAAACTATGATTATGATGTGCTTTCAGCACTTTCAGGAATAATGGAAAAAGTGTGTATACACTGAAGGAGAGGGATTAACTTCCCACCTCTGAGTACAGTATCTAACTTTCCAAAGATTCAGTCTCAATACTTTTTATCATGCCTCATTAGCAATCATGAATGATGAATAAGATAAGCCAACACTTCTGTAACTCACCTATAGATGGTCTAACTATTGCAACAGGTAAGTTTCCGCTTTCTTTGAGTAACATACTTTCCGCTAGAACTTTTGTAAATGTGTAAGTGTTGGGACGGCTACCAATCAACCTACAAAACAGCAACAATGAGAAATTGTTTTCAAACAGAGTTGCACATTTATTCTATATCAGTACAAACATTTACTGCCCATATTTCAAGGGAGAAAGTAATATTTTTACATAAAATACACAAACAAGAACTTACACTGTCATTAACGACAGCAACTGTGCTTGAAATGCACATGTGACAGTGATTTCTATAACTATATGGTTTCCACAAGCAATAACTAAAGTGCCGAGTCTACTAACAAAGTGCATTAGGGTTGCCAAATGTGATAAGCTGCAGGAGATACTTAATAAAACTACAAAATTAAACATAGTCTTTTTAAGTTATAATTACAGCTTTGCAGAATCAAGTAAAATGTAAAATACAAGGAATTTAATCTTTTCTGAACATGTCTTCTGTATTTAAAGATACAATTAAGTGACTGGTACCCCCGGTACAATTGTTTGTTGGTAGGATCTAAGATTTCTTCAGCCATTTCTATTGCTGTAATGCCAGTTTCTGAAGTTATTTTCCAGTCTTCTTAAGACAGCCAGTAATGATGTAAACCAAAATGCTTCGAAAGCCAGCTACGTACTGTGGATGCCCGAACTAACACACCGTATTTAAAACTCAACCCAGTAAGGCCTATAAGAAGCTCAAGGGGCAAGAAACTTTAAACCCTTTATGAAATTTGAGGTTCACAGTGGTCCAAATTCATTTGTCTTCTATACTGCAATGTAAAGAATTACTAGTATGTTAGAAGAGTTTCTTGCTCACTGAAACCATTGGCTTTATTCCTGAAAAATCACAATTCACAGCTGTTTGTTATATTTCCACACAATAATTCAACAATGGTATTACACACAAAAGACTACAATTTATTTACATTAATTCCAAGGTCATGTCTTACAAACACACCAAGAACATAATTAAATGTTACCAATATTAAAAAAAGTATTTAAAGAATCATTAACAAAGCTGATGCTACAAGATCACAGTGTTACAATCCAAAAGACCATGATCATGTATTTACCACTGTGAGAACCTCATATCTCAAATATTTGTTTTTCATGCTTTACCTAAAAATAAAAAACAATTATCATAAATGCATAATGGCACTTTCATTCCTTTCATTATGTTGCATAACCCTACCTTTCCTGCAACTGGCAACCACAGAGTGCAATTACATAGCTATGCAGGTGTATGTGAATGTCTTACTTTGGTGTGAGTGCTTGAATGAGATCATCGTCCATCCACTCCATACACTGGATGATTTTCTCTGGGTCATAAGGAGGTGGATAAATCACCTCATTCACCTCTTCTCGGTCACAGTTGCAGTATGCAGTGGAAACATGTATCAGAGCCTAAGCCCAACAACGTGTACATATTACAATGAGTGAACATAATGCTTACCTGTTTGCAAACAAATACAGTGCTCAACCGTGTGTAAATATATGAACACATTGCCGCCAAACTTATTTTGAGCATTTGGCTTTGAAATACTGAGAAACTTCAAACAGAAACAAGGAAACACAGATGGTGTAAAATGACATAAAACACCACATTGTGCCATTAGGCACAGTACATTATATGTTACTAAATGAACTTGATCTACTGTGTATCAATAATCCTAATTGATGGGTTCTGTAAGAGCCCAAAAACTACCACATTTAACACCTTACCTCCTTTGTCCCATATTTCTTTCTAGGACAAGACAGACACATACAACCAACAAGGCTGAATATGTGTACTCTTTGGCATACAATGAGATTCCAAATGTGTTCTTCACACCACATCATGTAAATATCATTGCTGTATTATGATACCAAGTGATACTGCACAACTGGGACCCTTGGATCCCATTATTGCACAACAGAGGGTTCCAACAATGGGAAGTCTTGGGGAGAAAAAAGCAGTCACAAAATTTCAACACATTTCCTGAGGTACATTCACTTACTTTTGTATATATAAATTCAGTTGTTATATTCACATACTATGTATGTCATGAGCAGCTATGGCACAGACTGAAAGTTTGAAGTATTTTATCTTTCCTGGGACTTCGTAACATTTATATATTACTCATCACTATAAATCTTAAAATTGTAATTTTAATAAAAATTTAGTTTTTTTGGCTGGAAGTAATAATGAATCTGCGACTGGATAAATTCATCTACAGAACCCCTGAGAACATCTCATGGAAACCCAAGGGTTCTGAGGAACACAATTTGGGGAAACTGTACAAATATATTTGCAGTGTTGCAATATGACCTATAAATCTTATACAACACATTTAGGTGAATTTTTGTCAATAATAGATTAGTATAATTTTCTTGCAGAATTAGAGTCAAATATGAAACCATTAGTTAAAATTACCATCAAACTGACTTCCAAATGTAGTCATACTATGAGGTACATATGATACAATAACCTGTAACTAGATCTGCAGCTGATTGGAACAATAATTCTGTCTCTCTCCACAACCAGTATGTCAAAAAATTGTAACAAATTAGTTTCCATATACTTAAAAATCCCCACTTAATGGTACCTGCACCTTTCGTGGTGGTGGGGATGTACCTCAGCGATCCCAAGAGCTATGCTGGCAGTAGCATAGCTACTGGTAGGGACTCCCTAGCCAGATTGGTCGAGGGGGAGAGGTCAGACTAAGACAGGTACCCTGGTCCTCCAGGTTGGGGGTTGGTCGCAAGGCTAACAACCTTGCACCGTAAAAAGGAAGATGTTTCGAAATCTCAATCAAAGCCTCGGACAGACGGACCTAACAGAGGACCGAATGGAAGAGGAGAATTGAGGAGGCCATGGACCGAATACGGACCGGAGAGCCATAGAAGAAGAAGATATTTAAAAATAGTACACAAACTGTGGTAACAGCAGCAAGTTCTTGCTTTTATGGAGAATAATGAAAATTATAAATGATTATATAAGTGAAAAGCATAATGAAGTATGAATAATAATATGAACATAACCTACACACACACACATTTGACAACATACATGACCTGTCTACTGTGAGATGTAAAATTATTTTGTAGTGTGCTACAATGTGGAAAGAGTTTATGAAATACTGCAACAAGCAATTATATCACAAATAAGGGCAAGAACAAAATCACATTACACAAAAACATGTCTTTGGAGAATGCATGAGATGACTACTGTGCATGATTCTGCAACAAAACTTTTAGACATTTAGCAAACTTAAATACTTTATTTATAACTACTGCTCTTATACCAGATACTAGTTCAAACATATACAAAAACTAATGAACTGCATTTCACACTGCCTATCCTACATACACTATGTATCTAATTCAGTAAGTTACAGTACACTAAAATATGACATATAATATGTTTCTGTAGTGTGAGAAGTATCTAAATGAAAGCTGAGTATTTATGTATTAAATCCCCATGCTTCTGATAGAAAACATTAATATTTCCCAACATCACAACCAAGGCAGTAACGTAAAATGGCAGATATAATGGATCCATACTGATCAAACTGATGTTAGGGAGAGGAAGATAAAACAGAGATTAAGTAAAGAACGATGAAGAGAAGAATATAAGGCAATTAAATTTAGAAGGGGGGGGGGCACCCAGACTTGTGTTCACATTTGATTTGAAGCATACAAACTTGTAATTCATATTTAATCAGAGTGATCTTTGTTTAATTACTTTTCAAACAATAATCACTAATTCCTGAACTTTTTAACTGCTGTGTAGGATGTTTTCTATTTGTGAGATGCGACTGTTACATGTTAAATGCTAAACACAAACACTTCTTATATTCAGCTTAGAATTATAAATATTTCACAAATGAAAGAAGACAAGAACTTCTGTTAACTAGATGACATATATAACATTACTAAGAAAATAAATAAAACCCGCTGAATGTGAACTGAGGAACATACCTCAAGTCCTAGCATGCGATGACACAGCTCCAACAATCGCTTTGTACCGAGCATATTAATAGTGACAGAAAGTTTTAATGCTTCATCGAACTTCACAGTAGCAGCAGAATGGAACACTACAGACACAGTCCGAATAAGGAGGTTCTGATCCGACGGACTGATTCCCAACTCTGGTTCTGTGACATCCCCTTGAATTGGAACAATCTTGTTCAGTTCTAGTGGCTGTTCCTTCCGTAACCGATCAAACAGCTGCAGAGAAAATAAATACAATTAATGCAAACTTACAGTATAAAGAGAAATTATAATGTAAAAATTATTCTTCTGGGTTGTGATACCATGTGAATTCATGAAGGAAATATTTATAAAGAGTTCTGAAGTTAAAATCCATATGTCATCAACCAAAGGCAAGTCTGGAACAACATGAAAAAGAAACAGAGACAATGTCACAGTGCAATGATTGCCATTTTTGTTACACATTCAGGGGATCTCAGATTTGAAACTAAATTCAGATAAAAGGCTATTCTGACTCAGGTTTCTTTCAGCTTCTTGAAGAAAATGCTGCACTAGTACTGAGAACAGTATATGATTGCTTCTTGCCACAGCCCATCCAATTCTTAACTCATTAATCATCATGTCAAGCAGTTAATAAAGCAATGTTAGAAAAGAAAAGTCTGCTGATTGAAGGAACTAACCATGCATGGCTAATTAGCTGCATATTAATGAGAGTGAAAAGATTTCAAACAAGGCAGCTAGCATATCTGAGAAACTTAATTCCGTATCAAAGACATCTGATAACAATATTCAAGGGCAGATATATGGTTGTAAAATTAATGGATACAAAAGCAAATATGGGCATTTTAGAAATACAGAGTAGACACCAAGGATAACAAAATATTTTTAAGTGTGATTATGTAAGAAAACATTACTTACTAATGCCAGTAGTATAAATGACTGTTAGGATATAACACAGATCAGGATTAAGTGGTAATAATAAGAGATGACCAAATGCCAAGCTTTCAATGCTTACTTAAAATGCTTTGTGAGACATGAGAAATTTATGATTAGTAGCATATATAAATGAGGAGGCTAGGGCTCGATTTTGGGCTGTTACGCCATAGTAGTAGTAGTAGCATAAATAAATAAAAAACAAATAAAGAAAAGCAACATCAGGACTTTCGAACTGCAGGTCTCAATGAATTAATGAATTCAGCTTAGAGTAAAACAGCTGTTTACAGTATTTTAAGGCAAGAATTATGAACTGTTTAGCCAGTGGTAATCAACCTGCAGCTCAAACAGTCCAATTTTATGAATACACACACGTGTGCATGTACAAATACCAAAATACTGAGAACCTGATAGCAAAAAAGCACTGCTGAGTCAAACATTTTATAACACATACAATTAGAAGGGATTATCACTTATTACTTTTGTTGACTGAAAACATACAGTGACATTTATTCAACAAAATATATTTATATATCATTTTCACATATGGCTTACAGCCTGGATGGGGTTCTGAGTTTCTTAAATTGTACTGCATGCATAAAAATACTGCTTACCACTGCCTCAGATATATGAAACTTACAGGTGCATTGAGCAACATGCTGAGTCTGGCAGTAACATCTTGACCTTGCTTTGGTCTCATCAACAGATAGATATTCTTGATCCCAGGACATGACCGGAGTAATTTCTCCACCAGGACTTTGCCCATGAATCCTGTCCCACCCGTCACAAACACAGATCGATCATGGAAAAACTGTCCCACGGGCACATAGTCACCCGATCCCAGTAGAGTAGTCATGGTTATGCAGAATTACACACGTTCTTGCTGTAGAATGAATTTCTGGATGTGTATGGAAGAGAGCTTGCTGGCTTGCACAAGACACATCAAAATTCTGTCAATTGAGCACTGATTATCATGTAAAAATCTACAACTTCTTTACCCCCTGTTATAATCTGACATTTGACATTTATACTTCTACCCAGTAAAATGCTACAAACCGCTACAAACATAATACAATGTAAGAATTCAACAATGATGATTCTTACTGCATTCTAATATACACACCATGAAATATTATGTCTGATCACAACAATGAAACATACATATCATGCACCTATATTCATAGATGATAAATTTTAGTTTCTAAGTATACAACAGAATTTTATAAACTGTTCTTGTAAACACTTTCACAGTGCAGTGTATTCGATGTCTGATGTTATATGGTCTAATTATTCTACCCCTTTAGACTGAAAGTGAGAATGTTGCAGTCATGTATGATATAATATGCTATGTGTTTGTTCAAATCATATTCAAGGAAAGGAACAGATTTTCAAACATTAAACAGCTTAATTGGCAGAATTAAAATTATTTTACTTTCTTGTACTGTATTTTTGTGATTTTACTTTAAAATAAATATTAACAGTAATGCAACAGAGTATTGTTATAATACATTTTGTATAATGTCTGGGAGAATAATTATTTCACTTGTATTTCATCTTGTCATGGCAGTCACCACTGTTCAGTATAACCACATCTGAAAGAAAAAGAGAAATGAATCGCTATAAGAAATTTACATGTGAATAACTGTTATATTAGACAGTATCAACATTACACTACTTTGCTGAAACAAAACAAAGACAAAAGTTGATAAATTACATAAGTAAAGATGGAAGGTGGATAGGTAACATGGAGGGGTGTAAACAAGAAATAATCCACAGGTCTACTAGCAGAATTCTAAAGTGTTTATACATTACACTTGTTAGTGTTACTACAGTTACATCATTACTGGAGTGTTTAAATTCTGGCACATTCACTGAAAATTCTACTTGTATACAAACCACACGAATGTTGATGATTAAAATAAAACTGTAATGCATTTTTCCATGTAATGGTAACAGGCATTACATGTCAACTATAATAATTTATTTATTTGCAGTTTATTTAAATACATCTTTTCAGTAGCTCAGACTATATAGAATTGAATAAGATGATGAGAGTAAATAATGAATTGGAAAGGATGTGGAAGGAGGCGGTCATGTCCTAATTTATGGTACTATCTTCACATTTACCTGGAGGGACAGAGGAAAGAAGTACATTTCTCAAGGGGATATATTCACCACTGTGTTAAATTTAACACAGATCACTTAATGTATTATAATTTGTGGATTACTAAAGCTCATCCAAGATGACCCAGCTGTCTACGACAGTTCTAACCATATTATTTTTATAAAGAAGCAAAAGGATAAAGTTGTTCAACAGAGCACCAAATGCATTATTTGTTATTTTGTATACATTGTCAACCTTGGTTTCCATTTATTTGGGATACAAAACAACTTTTGCAAAGCCACTCTTCACAATGAGATGGGCATATTTTTCCTGCTACATGACATTAATTTTTGTAGAATGAGACATTTTCTAGAAATATGATGAAAGTTATATTTGGGTTTCGTCTCCTTACAAGGCTTATATTTGATAAATATGAACCAAAATTAATACACTCCCCTTTCCCACTACCAAATCTAATCGAAATTCATCAGCTGGTTTCAATGACAAAACACAAATGGATCAACAGGTGGATGGATATGACCTCCCCATTGTGTTTCTTTTATGTACTGTGACGTGTTGCAGTTGGCATTGTTGAACTGTTTAATGACAGTGTTGTATTCGTGCATTGTTGCGTTTAGCATTGTTGTGTTTACATTGTTGCGTATGTTTATTGGCATTGTTGCATTATGTGAACGAGTGAACTCACATAATGAAGGTTGTGGCCATCCTCCCACCTGAATATGTTTAATTTCTGAATCTACAGAACAGATTAGGATAAAACATGGCAGTGGGCAGTTGTAGAGCAAGTTTTAATTTTAAATTTCATTCTGAGGGAAACACAGATTGTGGAGTTTGTGATGAAAGATGTGCAAATGGAACTAATTATACAATGACAAAATTACCGAATTCCTTACACTTTCTGGGATTAAACATTTTTCATGAATATAGCGAGATCGTATTATAAATGTCCAGCACTTGTTAAAGAGCCAGGCCATTCCAGGCTCGTCCCTTCACGGGAATCAACAGTGCTAACTAAATGTAGGAATGACGTTCCAGTGTAGATACAAGCAATCGTATGTGACAACTGTAGTGGTCATTAGTTTACAGAACACAGATTTCACTGGGTGGCTGTGGGGGAGGTTGATGTTATTTCCAACAAAGTAAATAAAATTGACAAAATAAAAGAGACATGGTCTCGTGTTTACATGTCCTTTCATTTAAATTCATTGCACTAACTACATTAAATAAGATCAATGGATAGGTTGCGTCTATTCATACGTACGTCAGCTTCATTTCCCGAAAGTAATGAACGGATTTAAAGAAATCTTATATTAGAGATGTCTACGCTAAAAGTTGGGTCAATTTAATTTTGGGCTCAGTCGTTCAACAGAGCCGCTATCAGATCAGACATCGATTTTCGTAATAAAAGGCTCACTGTACAAGAAACTGACCTGTAACATTTCTTGACATGGTAAATATTTAGAGAAATAAAGGGAAAACCAGTTTCTATTAGTGTAATATCTGTACTGCATCTGAAACAACTGTACTCGAGTCCAGTGCGGTACAAGTACTTGCAAAATAGCATGGAACGTTTTGGAAACTGGGACCCTTCTTATTACCTGCCATCCATTTGTAACAGCATTTCGTCATAGCGGTGCTGTGCGTCAGTAAGTATCATACCAGCGCAGGTTTGTTTTATTTTATCTTAGCTTAGGTCACCTACAAAAGATAATCTGGCCTAATCTCAGGTACAGAATTCTTACTAACGCACACCATCACAGAAAACAGTAAATATTCAATAATTTTATTCACCGTCTTTACACAAGCTTATAGATTGTTAAAATCACATAAAATTATAACATTTCAACATTTGATATTGTTACATTTTAAAATGACGACATGTTTCGATGTTCATTCCATCATCGTCAGGTCTATCAATCAAAATTAAAAACTGTTGCATTTGCTGCTCTGCGTATACTGATTTTGTTCTACCCGTTAGATTTTATTTGTTTAACCTCCAGGCTTCTTCCATTTAATTTTGAAGGCTGCGCCTGGATGCCTTAAATCTGCAAAATCAATTTTAATTTTCATATCGTGATCCTGGCTACTGACATAGGAAATGGAATAATTTTAAAGAATTACTCAATATATCGTAATACAAGCAAAAGAAAAGTAATCACAAAATATTTAAGATTGACATATGCAAGCTAAAAAAAACCGAAATAAGATATAAGTAAATATTCATTTATAGCATTTTTCAACGCGAAATACAAATAAACGTGTGCAAAATAGCAAAGAATGATTTTAAGACGTTGTACCACGATTCTAACTTCCAAAATCTGATGACCCTATTTCGGGCACCTGGTTGCTGGAGTAAACGGGAACAGGTCTGTTCTGATGCATGACGTAACGGTAACCCCCCACCCCCCACTCCGGTAAATTACAACTTCCTCTCACTCTTCTGACCTGGTGACCAGAATCCAGGTCAATGTTATACAGACTGTCGCCGACGAGACGGGCAGCAGTGCAGTGAACTCATCCCACAACCTACACTCATGACGTCACTAGACATACTAGCATGTTATACATTGCTTAATGTTGTTCCGTTATCAATTGCCCCAGAATTCATTTACTTCTACTGTGGGGAGGGGGCACAGTTTATGCATTTCTCGTGTGAAACTTGTCAAAATGAAATCAATCGAAAAAATCATCCATCTCGTGAAAGACGAGAAATGTAAGTTACCTCTCACAACAACGAACTATTGACCAGTAAATGGAAAGGAGTAAGAATTTAACCGAATGGTTATTGGTCTTTGTTCAAAAAAATTGTTTCGTTTCGCCCCTGGAATTTATCAAAGAGGATAAGAGAAATGAGAAGTACATACACAGCAGTCGCAAGACCGAAGGGAAAAGACACTACAAAACTAAACGTAAATGGAGAACAGCAGGTCCTATCAACGTGGATTTCAGATCAACGGGCTACGAAGGTGTGGAACGAATTCAAATTATTCAGGATTGTGTGAAATGACTGACTTTCGTAAGCAAAGCAACCATCTTCTGGATTCCATAAATGCAAACAATTTCTTGGCAACAGGTAGACAGCCAGGTGACTGTTCGGTACATTTTTCTTCGACTAGTCGATAATCATAGTCCTCGATATATACTATATATCCCAACAAAACACTTCTGGAAAGTGACATCCGCCTCCAAAAACTGAGGACTGTTCGCAACTATAGTATGAGATTCAGGTTTTCAAGGGAGTGAAAATTTGGTTTGTGCTCTTTTGGGTTATGACGCTGCGTGGTCTTGTAGGCGATCTACATAACCACAAACCAAATCTATTCAACATGTCTACGTTGCTATTAACTTAATATGTTGACTGGGAAGCACCGTGCCTGAAAAGGACACGAGAAGGACACGTAACTGATATTATATAATGATATTTTTTAGTTTCTGACAACACACAAAGACTAGCGTTTACAGTATCATAAATTACACAGTACGGCTCGCTGCAATCAACGGAACATTATCAGTACTGGATATCTTATCCTAAGTGATACGCTCCACACGCTCAAAACATTTTACCGTAACTCAAAGAATGGAATCACAGTTCAAGGGTTTTTAACCTGCGGCCCGCCAGTGTTTTATAGGGCCAATGTAATATGCACCCTATCGCGATATGAGTTGGAAAAAAATTGTTTTAGCCGAAGTTAAATGTTTGTTTTTAAATGCAAAATTAATAGAAATAAAAAATACATTGGTAAAGAAAATAATGTGTGAGCCTGTTTGCCTAGTATTTTTTATCCCCATGAAGTTTCAGTGAGTTCCTCACGGCAGCCCGCGAGCTGATAACGGTGAGAATATCCCCAGATCTTGAAAGGCTGGGAACCTCTGATACACTGGAAGGTTAGTGGTCTGTTGTAATAAATTGCGACTTATGCATATTTAAGTAGCAATAACATTTCTATTCCGGAACAACTTAAAGGCATTGCCTCACTAACAAAAGAAAAGTGCAGAGACAGCTTGTTTGTAATACATTGTACACATTACATTGATAAAGCAATTTTACGCTAAATAAATAATCACACTAACCATATTACAGAACAGAACGCGTTTCTTTACTCTGACAAGAAACTTGCAACTCAGGATGAAATTATTTAGATAGAACGGCGATTTGAGCCATACCTAATACATTCCAGCGTATGTCCTAGTACCATCGGGGCGACTAATGGCACACACATGACGATCGATCGATTATTCAGTTCCTGAACCCAGCAAGCATGTCGTACAAATAGTATGGCCATGCCTTGCAGTTTTCACTCACAATGAACTCAGGCAGTTTCCGGCCTACATACTATCGTCCTAATATCACATACCAACTGTTCGTGCTGTTTGAGATAGGGAAATCTCTGACAGGATATTATTGAAATTGTCTATGTGGACATCTGTAAACTAACTCACATTCCACGACAAACGCTAACCTGCAAC